CTTAATGTTTAGTGATACTGAACATCTTTTCACATATATATTCTCTTCAGTGAAATTTCTCTTCACATCTTTTTCCTATTTTCTAATTGGACTGCTTGGTTATTTTACTGCTGAGTTTACTGTTGAGTCTTAACATATTCTAGGTGTAAGTCTGTTGTCAGAAATGTAGTTTGTTAATATTTTCTCTCAATTCGTTGCCTATCTTTTTATCCTTTTAATGGGGTCTTTCACAGAGCAAAAACTTTTGAGTTTGATGAAGTCCAATTTATTGATTTTTTCTTTTATGGACTATAGTTTTAGTATCATGTCTAAAAATTCTTCACCACGCCCCAGGTCTCAAAGACTTTCTAAAAATCTTCTAAAAGTTTATCTTCTGACACATTATTTTCTAAAAGTTTTATAGTTTTACATTTTACACTTAAATCTGTGATCCATGTTGAGTTAATTTTTTGTATAAGGTAAAGTTAATTTTCTTTTTTTTCCCCTCCTTTGTGGATATCTTATGTACCCCAGCTCCATTTGTTGAAAAGGCTATTGTTCCTCCACTGAATTGCTTTGGTACCTTTGTCAAAAATCAGTTGGCTGTACATGTGTAGGGGCTATTTCTGTATTCTCTATTCCATTCCATTGATGTTTGTGTCTGTCCCTCCACCAATACCACACAGTCTTCATTACTGCATCTGTATAGCAAGCCACAAAATTAGGCAGTGATTCTTCTCCTTCGTTCATATTTTTCAAAATTGTTTTAGCTATTCTAGTTCCCTTGCCTTGTCATATAAATTTTAAAATAATCTTGTCTATATCTACAAAAAAGTCCTGCTGAGATTTTGTGTTAAACCTGTACATCAGTTTGGGGACAACTGACATCTTTGCTGAGTTTTACAGTCCATGAACGGTTCGTCTCCATTTATTTAGATTTTCTTTGATTTCTTCGTCAGTATTGTATAGTTTTCAGCATACACATATTGGATATGCTTTGCTATTATATGTAAATATTCCATTTTTTTCAGTGCTTGTAAATGGTATTGTATTTTTAATTTCAGTTTCCATGTGTTCATTGGTAGTATATAGAAATACAATTGATTTTTGCATGTTGACTTTGTATTCTG